ATGATCTCTTCTAAGGACATGGTCTCCCTCCTCTCTCTCTCTTTCTCGCAACGTGTAATTTGTTGGGAGGAAAGGTGACACAGCAGCTAGGGAGAACCTCCACATTTTCCTTGAGTCTATCAGCTTCGTAAACACACCCGTGTTTTCCTCGTGTAGTCGGGAGGAGCCCAAGCATCTTGCAGGGACGGGCCAGTGATCTGCTTCGTTCTTCCTTCATAACATGAATGAAAGGGGAGACCAGGAACCAGGATATATTTTCTGACTTTGGTGAAAGGAAGATGACTCATCTTGGTAAAGGCATACAGGGATCTTCCTTTCAGAGAGTAACATATGTTCGACCCAACTGTTTCTACATCCATCACGATGACGACACGCTTTGGAGGAAATGTTGTAGAAGCATGTTTACTTTCATCTGTCTTCACTTCACGGAATGGAATGGACAATAACGTCATGCCGTTACTTAAATCTTTAAAACCCTTCACGTGGGTGGGGATTTCCTTGGAACCTGGAAAGCTTTCATTTTGCATACCTCTACAATTTTTTTTTAAGTTACTTTTTTGAAACCCAATTCTATCCACGTGGAGTCCTTTGATGAATATTAAGAACCTGGGGATATAGGAGTTTATGGCTGCCCTAATTAAAACAAAACTAAAGGAGTGGCTGTGTTTGAACAGACGGAGTTTTCTAAGTGGCCCTTGAGGTACCATTTCAAGGGTACAGTTAGGATGATGAAGTGACAGGTACGGGTAATAGTTTGAATAACTCCTAAACTGTTAGACTCTCCTGCTTTTGCACTTTGCATGTACTCATTTTAGTGCACAAGATTTGCAGCGAGCTAGAGAACGCTGAGTGGGGGTGGGGGGACCAAAACCAAAACAACAACAAAAAAGAGCGCAAGAATAAACACAAATAAAAATCGACCTTCAAAGGCTCTTGATACTGGTGATTTTCCACTCCTATTAGGATGTTGATCTCTTTCCAGAAGGATCTCAGCAGTGGCCACCTGCCAGGGGAGAACAATATTCAACTTTGAGTGCCAGCCGCCGCTCACAGCTCCTTTCTCTCTAGCAGTGGAAGCCCCTCAGATTTTTACATTCTCTGCTTATGCGGAAACCACTGCTGCTCTTGAATCTCGTTACTGAGTGATGAGCACCTGGGAGCAGTGTGCAACATGTGATCCCGTATTTCTCGAGCAAATAGTATCTACAGTGGGCAGGTATGGGTGGCCATCTTGAGTGGCCGCTGTTTTTTGGTTAGCCCCTTTTCAGTACACCAAAACTATTTAGATGTTGTGGCAAATGTTTGAAAGTGAATAGCACAGATGTGTATGCTTTCAAAAAGTCATTCTTTTTTTAAAACTGAGAGTATAGGTGATGTATAATACTATGTTAGTTTCAGTGTGTGCCACAGTGAATCGACGTTTCTATGTATTAAGACAGGATCACCAGAAGTCAAGTTACCCTCTGTCACCATAAAAAGTCCTCACGTTATTATTTACTATATCCCTTAGAATGTATTCCATAGGGGCGCCTGGGTGGCTCAGTGGGTTAAAGCCTCTGCCTTCGGCTCAGGTCGTGATCCCAGAGTCCTGGGATCGAGCCCCGCATTGGGCTCTCTGCTCAGCAGGGAGCCTGCTTCCCTTCCTCTCTCTCTCTGCCTGCCTCTCTGCCTACTTGTGATATCTCTCTCTGTGTCAAATAAATAAATAAAATCTTAAAAAAAAATGTATTCCATAGCCCCAGGATCTTTTTATTTGATAACTGGAAGTTTGTTTTTTATATTTGTCTGTTTCTGGTGTGTTTGTTTCTTAAAAATTCTACATATAAGTGAAATCATACAGTATTTGTCTTGGACTTATTTCACTTAGCATAGAAACTTCTAGTTCCATCCATGTTGTTTCCAATGGCAAGATCACATTCTTTATGGCTGAGTAATATTCCATCAAAAGTGGGTAAATCCTCACAAGTGGGATTACTGGATTGTAGGGTAGCTCTATTTTCAATTTTTTGAAGAACTGTCATACTCTCTTTCCTCAGTGGCTGCACCAACTTACATTCCCACCAGCAGTGCACGAGGGGTCCTTTTCCTCTCCATTCTAGCCAACACTTGTTATTTCTTGTCTTTTTGGTATCTGCCATTCTAACAGGTGTGAGGTGGTATCTCATTGTGGATTTGATTTGCATTTCCTTGATGGTGAGCATCTTTTCATGTATCTGTTGGCTGGCTGTATGTCTTTTTACAAGCAACATCTATTAGGGTTCTTTGTCCATTTTTAATCAGGTTATTTGGTTTTTCTGGGTGTTGAGTTGTAGGTGCTCTTTATATTAACCCCTTATGGGATCTTACTGGATCTGCCATTTACAAATATCTTCCTCATGCAGTAGGTAAGTTGTTTTTTGCTTTGTTGACGATATTCTTCATTGTGCAACCTTTTTAGTTTGATGTTTGACGTTGTTGCACTATTGTCCTTGCCTGAGGAAACAAATCCAAAATGTGATGCTCAGGGGGCTAAGGGTTTAGTGCCAATTTTTTTTTTTCTAAGAGTTTTATGGTTTCAGGTCTCAAATTTAGGTCTTTAATTCATTTTCGTTTTATTTTTGTGGATGGTTAAAGAAAGTGGTCCAGTTTTCCAAGATTATCTTTTGCCCATTTTTTATTCTTGTCACCTTTGTTGTAAATTGACCACTGAAGCCTGGGTTTACTTCTGGGTTCTTTATCCTGTTCCATTGATCTGTGAGTCCATTTCTGTGCCAGTACCATACCATTTTGATTATTGTGTGGTTTGCGATCGGGGAGCCTGACACCTTTAGCTTTGTTCTTCTATTTCAGTACTGCTTTGGCTATCAGGGCATTTTTTTGTGGTTATATACAAATTCAGGGCTCATTTGTTCTAGGTCTATGAAAAATACCATTGAAATTTTGATAGGGAGCCCTGAATCTGTAGGTTGCTTTGAGTCGTATGGATATCCTAATTCTTCCAATTCATAAGCACGTCTGATCTTTCCGCTGATTTATGTTCGGTTTCTTTCATCAGTGTCTTACATTTTTCAGAGTACAGGTCTTCTACCTCCTTAAATTTGTTTCCAAGTGCAGATCCTTTTTAAGCGGTAAAATTCAGAGCACATTTTGTGTATAATTATCTGACTTGCTTGAATATTATGTTGCCTTTAAGCATTACAGAAATAAAATTTTAAAGCAGCCATATAATATTATAGACATGGATATGCTGGGAGTAATTCCTGTTCCTCAATATTAGATACTGAAGGTGAAATCTACCATGTACATAAGGTGTGGAATTTTCTTTTGTAATTTGTGATTTTCAGACCTACTGGTAGTGAGGAAAACCAGGTCACCTGGTGGGACTTTGGGACTCTTTTGGATAACTATCCAGTGAGCACCTTAACATTTTGGCTAACGTAAAGAAGATCCTGTTAAGGGGCACCTGGGTGGCTCAGTGGGTTAGAGCCTCTGTCTTCGGCTTGGGTCAGGATCCCAGGGTCCTGGGATTGAGCCCCACATCGGGCTCTCTGCTCAGCAGGGAGCCTGCTTCCTCCTCTCTCTCTGCCTGCCCCTCTGCCTATGTGTGATCTCTGTCTGTCAAATAAATAAATAAAATACTTTTTAAAAAAAGATCCTATTAAAAACTAGTTTAAAAAGATTCAAGCCTGTTAAAAGATCCACAAGTATTGTAACATCATGCTGTTGGCACCCCTTTGCCATAGATTCCTGCCTAAACCCTGCCTTCTTCGCTGTCTAGTGAGACAGTTTGGCCAGTCCTACCATCCTGGGGGCCTCTTGGGGATAGGACTCCATCTGGAGGGCCCAGACTCCCTTTCACAGGCCTGTTGGTAGGTCCTCAGTTTCCCCTCCGCTCCCACAAGGTTGGCTGTGCCCAAGATCCATGAGATAACTGCAGTAGCCATGACCTTGCCCGAAAACTAACAACCGAGGTATCCCAGCCCTGCCTTCCTGGCCCCATATGAAATCACTGGCCTTAAACCAAGAACCAACTCCTCATGCATGGGATCATGGAGAAGAAGGACTCTAATCCCTGGGATACCATCAGTGTCTCGTGTCTCTTCCTAAGAGATCAGCACAGTGGCCTGTAATTTTAAAAAGACCACTGTTGATCTTTTTCAGGAAAAAAGGGAGCCCGCACCTTTCTTAGTACTGGTAAATGTCTGAAATAGGACAGGTATCCCTTACCTTCAAACTTAGATAGTTCTTTTGTCAAGCTGAGATCTTCCCGTGACCTTGAAGTTATGTGTATGTGGAGATAATGCATCTCTTTCCATTCCTGGTACAGCATGGTCCACTGACTTGAAGACCTCCCTCCAGTCTTAGCTTGAGAGAAGATTGTGCAGGGTTATTTTTAATGGAATAATGGTTATTTCTACTCCATGCATTTATGCTAATTTACTCAGCTGTTATCTGTTCCTATTGTACTCCCAGGTATATAACTGATATGCTCTGTTTCTTAAGAAATCTCTGAAATTTCCACAAGTTGCTCCTTTACCATTTATTTCTTATGATTAAAGTCTGTTTGAGTCAAATAACATGTTTGAGCTCTTATAATACATAAACTAAGTTTTTAAAGCCCCACTTATAGGCCTGCTCCTCGAGCTCGGCCAGGCATTTTTGGTGCTATGTGTTGAGGTCACCTAATGCTACAGTTTTTTTTTTGTTTTTGTTTTTGTTTTTTTTTAATTTATTTGACAGACAGAGATCACAAGTAGGCAGAGAGGCAGGCGGGTGGGGGGGGAAGCAGGCTCCCTGTTGAGCAGAGAGCCTGAGGTGGGGCTCAATCCCAGGACCCTGGAACATGACCTGAGCCAAAGACAGAGGCAGTGGTTAAAACCCACTGAGCCACCCAGGTGCCCCTGCTACAGTTTCTTATCTCCGGACACTTACGTACTTGGTGAACAACATTTTTTTTTTTTTCATGTGGCTGAGACCAAATGTACTGACTTATTGGGGTTCTGTTCTCTTCTGGTTTTCAGGGTGCTGGTTGCACAGCCCTGGTGGTCGCTGTGGTGGCAAGAAAGCTAGAACTTACCAAAGCAGAAAAACACGTGCACAACTTCATGATGGATACTCAGCTGACCAAACGAGTGAGTCATCACCCTTGTGTCTTCCAAGGGACATTACCGTGTGGCTCTCCACGTTGGGCAATATGACCTCTATCTTGACCTCTGAAGCTGACATGACGTGCTTTAGCGTTAAGGCCTTCTTGGAATCACTTCCATTTTTTTTCTCCCCCTGCATGTTGAGAACGGACTTGGTCTAACTTTAGGTCAGGGAGGAAACAATTGGACGACCTTGGTATTTACTCAAGGATCAAAACAGACCACATCAGTCTAACTAACTAGGTGCACTTAACATTTACGTTTGCAGGATACAAGAAGGGACCAATATTTGATTGAATAGGAAGGAACACACTGTCAGTGTCATCGAGAAATTTTATGGGGAAGTGATTCAACACTGTCCTACTGAGTTTCTGTGAGCCAGTCGCTGTTCTAAAGACTGGGGTTGCGACAACAGGGAGAACCAGCCAGTAACTTTTAGGACCCCCAGGTAGTACCAGAGATAGGCCCTTTCTCTGATTTACAGGCTGTCCAGGAGATGAAGTACAGCATCCCCATGGGAAAATATGGTAGAAAACAGTAACCATGGTGTTTACAGAGCACTCCCTCTGGGTGAGGCTTGGCTGCAAGCGTGTCACCGCTGTGAACTGGGTTATGGGGAAAGTGGTAGTATTAGGCTTGTTTTACAAATGTGGAAGCCAAGACACAGAGAGGCTCGGTAACTTGCTCAGAGTCATCATATCAAGGAGGGAAAAGATTCTTACCCACTCCCACTCTATTTTTAGCCTTTCTGCATGGGTATTGGAGAAATAACAATGGAAGTTCAGATAACTTGATATTATTTTACAGCAGCGTCATCTTGCTGCGTCACCCGAAGCAGAATCTAATCAGTCTGTCATCGAAGTGACAAAAATATGTTGTCATTTGGCGACTTTACCCACAAAGGAGTCCATGGAGAGTTCAAGCTGAGTTGCAGTTTTCAGTGGTTTTACTCATTTTAGATTTATTTTTTACTTTTTTAACTCATTTTTACTCATTTTAGCTTTAGATTTACTCATTTTAGATTTTAGATTTAGATTTTAGATAATCAGATTTAGATTAGATTTCACTCATTTAGATTTTGTCTGCAAAAACCTCAGCTCATTAGGTAAATACTTCCTAATAGATCCCTCACCCTGACGCGCACATTTACACATGTGGGTAGTGTTTACAAAAGGGAAACATGGATTCCAATTGCCTTGTCCTTCTCTAAGTCACACGTTATCATGAGACCTCATTGCATTTGGAAGGTCCTCATGTATTCTTGAGGATCTAAGCTGCTCAGTTGCAGACGCCATCCTCTTGGCCTGGGTGTGCCCCTTCAATGTCTTCTACCCTCTGGGTGTCTCTCAGTCTCCAAACTCATGAACGTTCGTGAATATTACAAAAAAGCACAAGGAGAGACCTAAGTGCAGAGCTGAATGGAGGGTTAGGATTCTTGTTGCTTTCAAAAATACACCGGGAAATGACTATGGGACTATGAGCCCACATATAATCCAAACTCGGAGCAGATGTTTTATGGATCTCCTAATGGGCTTGTTTGGAAGAATTCCACACTGTACGGTTCATATCTAAGAGTCCAAAGTTGTGCAGTATCGAAAGAACTCTTCCACAGACCCCCTTGTATAATCCAGAGAATTTTCTTGTGAAGATGCTACATTATGAATTTCCCAAGAATTACCTTAATGCCACACAGGGGTAGAAAATTACATTAAAACACCCTAATCGCCCATACACCATGTAAATCTTTTCAGCAACAAGAACAAAAGGTGTGACAGGATCCCAAACGACAGAAACCAAGTTAGCATGTTGAGGCCAACCAAACTCCCCAGGTTTCATAAGCAAGTATTTAGTTCTAACTTGAGAAGGAAACATGTAATTGCTTTAGATTGACTTGGGGCTCCAGCTGTTCCGTATCCTACTTACTGAGCAGAAGGATGTTAAAGCCACGGTAAAATACCTTTGATGGAGAGATCCGTGCTATTTGGACAGGTCTCCAGGATCATGTGGGAGACATTCCAGGTTGGTTCAATCATTTAATTGGTTTAGCTCGGGGTCACTCAGCCTCAGCATGGTTGACCTTTGGGAGTGGATAGTTCTCTGCTCTTCAGCTGTCCTGGGACCTTGTTGACTGTTGAGTAGCATCCTTAGTAGACTCGTGACAACCAATAATGCCTTAGACACCGCCACATGTCCCCTCAGGGGACAGCATTGCCCATGGTGAGATCCGCTGCTTTAAGTTATTCCCTGGGGATTTGGAGACTGGGACAATCCTCATAGCAGATACTCTTTGTGGCTACTCAACTTATTACAATCTTCCTGGGAATAACATGTATTTAACAAAAGTACCCTGTGTACCTATTATAGTTGAGGTTCTGTGTTACCTGCTGAGGATGTAGAACCGAAATATCACAGGGTGCTTTAAGTTTTTACACTACTGTGCCTTCAGCAAGTCAGATGAAAGGTCTGTTTGTTTTTCTTTGCTTGGCAGAAAAATGCACTCATGTTCTTGCTTCTTTTGCTCATGAGCTCCCTCAAAGCCCAGTCCCCCTTTGGAATACTGTGGATCTCGAGAACTTCTTTGGTTTTTATGAATGGGTCTCATTTCCCCAAATGGACCATGTGTTCTGATCTTACAGCATCTCTTTTACAAGGTCTTACAGACTTTAGTTGGACTCATAATGCACCACTATCTCTAGGAGTTTCTTCATAGAAAGCTTTTTTGGTAAGCAGTACTATCCTTATTTCAAATTTCACATTCTCCACCGTGCTTTATTAATTCTGTTATCTCATTGCTACTTCTTAAAAGTTGAGCTGCTTTCTCTTATTACTGGGGACAGAGGTCTCTTATAGGCCCAAGAAAGGCATTCCAGCAGGCCTGTCGACAGCTTGAATTTTTATGGGCAAAATGTCACTAAGTACAGTTACAAATGTTAAAATGGCATTAGAATCAACATAAATTTCTCAGTCAATACAATATATGAAAATAATAGCCCTTTTATAGTCCTCTTCAACTTATGAATATCATTTACTTGACACTTGATTCCATTTCATTATTTATGGAATTTCTAAATGGGCCCATTTATAATTGTACCTTTTTAAATAAAAATTCTAAAATACTGGAAGATGACAGAATAATAGGATCCTGAGCTCACCTCTTCCTCTGGATACACTGAGGCTACCACTACAGATAATGCAGCTGACTCTGAAAATTCCGTAAACACTAGCAGAATAGATCTTCTGCGGGTAAAGACTGAAAGAAAAAGCCACATGGAGAAGGGGCAAAGATGTGGTTGAGAACCCAGTCTCCTGCATGGCGAACCACAGGATGGAGGGACATCATAGGCACAGAGACTCTACCTAAGGAGTAAGGCCATCAAACCCCACATCAGGCAGCCTATGTTACTGGGGACCTGTACCACAGAGATGAGTCTCCATAAGTTCTGAATTCATATTGGTAGGAGCTTTCTCCAGGACTAGAAGTGCTGGTGGACACTATTTTCTTGCCCTCCTTCAGCCTGGCTGGCAGCACTTTGCAGGAAACAATTTTGGTCCTCTCCACCTACCTTGCTGGCACTGGTCATCCAACTGCACCTAGTGAGCATCCCCCTGAAGCAACTACTGCCCCCTGGGAGGGGCCAGCCCCACCTACCTGTGGGCCTAGAGCAGTCAAAGCCCAGGCACAACAGGAAGACACATGCTGCCCACAGGGGACATCTCTAGTACCTGGTTCTGGTGACCAGAGTGGACTGTGCTACTGGGAACCACAGGACACTTTCTACCTAAGACCAATAGTACTTCTAACACCAAGAGACACAGCTGATCTACCTAATACATTGTAACAAGCAAAAAGAGTCAAACAAAATGAGGAGGCAGAGGAATATGTTCAAGAAGAAAGAAAGAGGCAAAACCTAAGAAAGATGTCTGAACCAACAAAATGGAGATAAGTAATCTACCCAATAAAGAGTTCAAAGTAATGGACCTAAATTGGGATAAACTCAGAACTTTAACAGAGACCAAAAATATAAAGAACCAATCAGAACTGAAGAAGACAGTAATAAGAGAAAAACACACTAGAGGAAATCAAGAACAGATCAAAGGGTACACAAAACAGACAAATAACAGAGTAACTCATAGGGGTCCCAGAAGCAACAGAGAGAATGGGGGCAGAATACTTACCAAAGAAAGAAGAGCTGAAAACTTCTCTGACCCGGGGGAAAGAAACAAATATATAGGTCCAGGAAGTACAGAGAGACGCAAACAAGAGGAACTCAAAGAGGCCAATACCATGACACATATTAAAATGACAAAAATTGCAGATGAAAAGAGAATCTTAAAAGTAGCAAGAGAGGGGCACCTGGGTGGCTCAGTTGGTTATGTGTCTGACACTGGAGATCAGCTCAGGTCATAATATCAGGGTTGTGAGATAGAGCCCCACATTGGCCTCCAAGGTCAGTGTAGAGCCTCCTTAAGATTCTCCCTCTCTTGGGACACCTGGGTGGCTCAGTTGGTTAAGCCACTGCCTTCGGCTCAGGGTCATGATCCCAGGATCCCGGGATCGAGTCCCACATCGGGCTCTTTGCTCAGCAGGGAGCCAGCTTCTCCCTCTGCCTCTGCCTGCTACTCTGCCTGCCTGTGCTTGTTCACTCTCTCTGACAAATAAATAAATAAAATCTTTAAAAAGGAAATAAAGATTCTCCCTTTCTCCCTGCTCTCCCCAACTCCCACTCATGCTGGCTCTCTCAATAAATTATGTAAGTAAGTAAGTAAGTAGCAAGAAAAAAGCAACTAGTTAGGTACAAGGGAAACCCCATAAAGCTATTAGCTGAGTTTTCAGCAGAGTTTGCAAGCAAGAAGGGAGGGGCATGAGATAATCAAACTGCTGAAAGGAAAAAAAACCTATACCAACAATATTCTACCCAGATAGTTTATCATTCAAAATTGAAAGAGACATCAAGGAGTTTATTAGCACTAAACTGTCCTTATAA